AACTACCATCTTCTCTATCTTCTCTCCACCACACCACACCACACCACGCCTCAACCACCAACCCCACTAAAAAAATCCCCAAACCGCCGCCACCACTGTGATCTCCACAAATCACACGGCGGACCAACCACTAGACCCTACAAATCCACCACACCGCAACGACCTCTACAAGTCCATTAGATCTCAACCGCTGCGTCGCTACCATCACCACTGAACTGTAGCAGCCACGATATGTACCATCACCATTGCAATCTATGCCGCTATAACCACGATTTGCAGAGCTTTTGGTGGCTCTCACGATGAAGGAACTGCTTTTCCCTGGGTCTGTAGAGCTTCAACGATCTGGGCTGCTGTTGGCGCAATTTGTAGCAAGAAATGGCTAACGGTGGTGCTCACAGCGAAGATGGTGGAGCAGCGTTCTCTAGTGGTGGCGCTCTTCGACGGTGGATGTTAACGAAAAGTGTATAGACTAGAGAGAGGAAGATGAGAGAGAAAGGTTGAGATATAGAGAGAATGGAGAGGAGAATGAAGATAAATTTAGGGTTTGTGTGTGAGGTGGATGGATAGGGTATGTTAATTTTATAATAGAATTATTAATATTTAAGTTTTAAATTATATCTAATTTTTGAAAATAAAAACTTGTATATCTTAATTATGAATTGGAATCTTGAAAAAGCTTGTTTGACACCCATTTTGAAGAAAAAATAAATTTTTGAATAGTGATTGATAGAAGAATGTGTAGTTAAAAAGTAATGAGAATTTTTGGATTTATGTGTAGTATTATTTTATTGATAGAATGTGTGGTTAAAATGAAGAAAGAGAGAAAAAAAGAATGAGAATAAAAAAAAAATGGGTGTCAAAAAGTTCTTGTAATTTCCACAACAAGTAATGCAAACAACAAAATATTTTTTTCTCCTTTAAAGCTAACTACAAAAGACCTAGTAAAATCAAAAAATGAAAAACAAAGTGACGCGAACCCATGTACGGGATCAGCGTGAAAATCGCGAAATTAATTGAAAGTACCGGGAAAGCCCAACTTAAGGTTGTAGACGGTAGAATCCCAACTCGCAAATTATTGAACCAAACAATTAAACAAAAATAAAGTTTGAATGACCTCTTGATTACAAAACCAACGAACCTCGATTTGAGAACGTCACAAAGGGTGTCTAATCATTTGATAAGTTCAAAGGGTTGAACGCCACAAATATAACAATATTTGATCACTTCGGTACATGTTCNCAAAAAGAGAGAAATCTTATTAATTTCATAATGTCAAAAATGTTTTTAGTTTTACAATGAAATAAATCTTTTATTTATATTAATCCTAGAAACCCTAATAAAACGTAATTAGGTCATCGAATATTGTCAAAATTGGAAATAAAATTGAATCCTAGACTAATAAGGAAAATTCACGAAAATAGGAAAATTTCGCCAACTTGTTCTCGACATGTTTCTGTGCGATCGCAAGCCCAAAAGCACCATGAGCTCGCGTAGCTTTGTACATAATTTTGTGCCATTTTCGGAATGTCCTCATAGGTGAAAATCCGACAATCGACCTAAAAGCTATGCCCGTTTTCATCCACGATACTCGTTTTCTTTCCAAATATCTTCCAAACCTTGAATCCAACTCATTTCGGCTCCCGAACCCTTCACGAAACTTGAACCTTGACTTGTTAACTTCTTCAATTTGGATTTCAAAACTCGACCAATTGATTTCCTATCCTGGATCATATCACCAAGAGATGACGCTTTGACAAATTATGCCCCTCTTTTGGTGGGATTAAAATCAAATTTATAGCACATTTTGATAAAGTTTGATGAAATGTATGATTGAAAAGTTGTGAATCCCATGAAATGTGTGACTAAAATTAATTGTTGACTTTGATTTAGATTAAAATCTTAATTTTAATACATACCAAACACGAGCTATATGTCAATAAGTATGATATAATGAAACGATTAATTTTGTATATATAGGGCGTGTTCGGTAGATATTAAAATTGAAAAATTAGTTGTTATTGTTGACTTTTATTAGATGGGTGAGACCCAATAACTGTCATATTTTCAATTAAAATTGAATTTTAATCATGGGCAAACACGCTCATAAACAATTTATTCATTTACATCCATATTCAACTGTAAAAATTAATTTATTCCACTATTTGGTGAAGCTAAAAATCAGATTTTTAGTAAATTTTGATAAATTTAATAAAATGTGTTTTTGAAAAGTCGATAAAAGTTGTGAAACCTAAAAATATGTGGTTGCAAATGATTTTTCTTAAATGAGTTTGGAAAAATAGACAACAAATATAACATGGACATAATGTTCGACACATGTATGTAGCAGTGGTATAAATTAAGAGCATGCTTGGTAGGGTTTAAAATCCAATTAAAATTGAAAATATGATCGTTATTGGGTCCCACTCACCAAATAAAAGTCAACAATAACAGTTAATTTTTCAATTTTAATCCGATTTTAATCTCTATCGAATACGCCCTAAGTTACTCAATTGGGACAATAAATTGAGACATGAATTCATCGACCTCTAAAATAAATAAACGACCTAACTTTTTAAACAAATTTTTCTCATAATATATTTGATGGTTATCATGTTACTTTAGACTATCATATGTAGCCTCCGTTTGGTGATGATTAAAATCAAAATTTTAGTAATTTTCGATAAAAATGATGAAATATGTTACTAAAAGGTTATGGATCCTATAAAGTATATAATTAAAATTAATAGTCGACTTCAATTTAAATTAAAATCTAAATTTCAATCCCTACAAAGCAGGGACTTAATGTAGATAATGAATAGATCAATTAACAATTAAATAAAATTATCTTACACATTATAAATGATTTAAGTTATAAAAAAGTATAAATAAGTTGAGAATAAGTAAGATCTCATAAAATTTGTGAATGAAAAAGTAATTTTATTAATTAAAAACACATACCAAACATGGACTTGCGGATCTGTATATTTTTTGCCCAACTTTATAGCACCTCATGTGCAGGGAAAACACACAGTCCATGAATTGTTGGAACTTGGAGCACCTAGAGACAACCTTAACTCCACGTCACGTAATCCCCACGGTGGGGCCCACATTCACCCTCGCTCCATCACCGCAGGTAACCCTACCTCAAACCTACTGCCACATTGAGGAAACCAATGCCTAACTTAGAAAATCCAAGTTAAAAATTCAGAATCAATTACTCTCCCTTTTCAGTAGAGCTGGACAAAAGTCCCGAATCGAATCGAATCGAATCAAGTTGTTCTTCATAAATTAAATATTCGAAAGGGTAGTTAAATCGAGAACCATGAGTTTGGTTCAGTTCTTGATTCTAGGCCAAGAACCGAATCCAAATAATTTTTTTTAAAATTTTTATATTAGATTAATTAATTAATTTTAATTTTTTCTAAATAAATTAGCAAATTTAAATAATTTTCTACTTTTTGGCATTTGTATATATTGAATTAATCTTATTGGACAGCTTGTTATTTATATGTTTTTAAATTGGGCTTCGTTAATTACGAATGAACATGTTATTAGTTATATTTATGTAATATTGTTGTAAATATTAAAAAATTTAATTATGGTACGAAATCGAACAGAACCGAACCCGAATGGTTCCATAATTATATTTGGACCTGACGATTCCATTTATTAAATACCCGAAAATTTTGGGTCGTTTCGATTTTGAAGAGAACCGAACCAGACCATGTACAGCCCTACTTTTCAGTCCAAAATGATATTCTCCCTATCTCACCGATTTCTTGGTACCTCGACAACTGAGATTGTTACAAGAAGTATTTGTCCCGACTCCCTCGACTTTAAGTTCACGTTTAGTCAGAGATTGAAAGGAGACGATTACATTTTTTACTTCGACTTCCGAGTCATAATTGCTAATGGACAAACGTGTGACTTCATAAAACTAATATTTTATGCGAATGACGGAACACAAGACTTTATGCCAGCATATTTGTCGTTAGCTTTAACATTCAAGAATATGCTTTGTTATAAAGAACACCATCGAATTTATCAAGTTGGCCGAATTGACTAATGTCAACCAAGTGAAATGTCATTCATTGTGTCAAACAAATCAGACGAGTAGTTAATTTTAGTTATGGGAATGGATGAAATGGTCAAAACGAAAAGAAAGTGTAAAATGTCTGGATAAAACTGACATAAATTAAAGTCAAGGGACCAACATAAAACAAGTCTATAAAACGAGTTACCTCCATTGTAATTCTTTTAATTACAGTAACTGCCCGGACTGCTCGATCTGCCCGGACTGCCCCTTAACCCAAAGTACCCGAAGTACACCTTTCCCTTTTGCCGTCTGACGAGCCCTCACGACATTCTCAATCTCTCTATAAATCACGCCTTGTCTCTACACACCCACTGATTTCCCTATCTACAAATCCCCTCCCGATTTTTCTGTCTAAATCGAAGGATTTTAAAGGTATCTGCTATCTCTCTCTCTTTTCTTTTTTATTTTTATGAATATATGTTGCGTACGTGCGTGATTTGTCTGTTGCGCGGTTTTCCTTTTAAATTGTTTAATTGGTGTGGGTTGTTTGTTGGATCTGAAATTTCGAAATGGAATTTGATAGGTTTTGATCGGAGATTTGAAGCCATACAAATTAAATTAAGCAGTGAAAAGTAGGGTTCCGACGTAATTCGTGGCTATCCAGTATTTTCGAGGCTTAAATTGGACGAGTCTAGGGTTTTGCTGAATTATAATTGAAGAAATCTGTTTTTTATTAATCAGAGAATTGGAGGTCTCTTAAGGGTTTTCAGTGCGCCAATTGAATTATTCGTTAGGGATATTGGGTAATTGAGAAGATTTGAAGGTGTTCAGATATTATTGAGCAAAAAATTAAGGATTACTATGAAGGTGAGATTTTGAGAGAGGATTGGAGTAATTTGATGTTTGAAGTTGGGGTATTGGGTGGCGGGAAATTTTGGGAAAATGCAAAAAAGCAATCTTTATTATGCATGGGAGGGTTCAGCGGGAAGGCGAGAGCAGTAGGAACCTACGGAGGAGCATTAGTCAGCACATGCGGTCAGTCCCACCCTTGACCACGAGCAACAGAACTATAGCTGCCACAGGTGATCATCCATCAGTTACTTCTTCTACCATCACCACAACCTCCACAGCCAGTGATTCATTTCTCAAGGTAATTTCTTGTTGGATTTTACGCGTTCCATTTTTTTTGTTGTTTGGATTTTGTATGCCATTGTTATTGTCTCTGTAGCGAAATTGAATCATTCTTTGTTTTTATGATTGTGTGGGAGGCAAGTGGCCAGTAAAGAAAAGAAATGATGCACTTGGGTGAGGGATTGTGGCTAATTGTTCTTCATTTAAGGCTTTTGACTTTTAAGCTTGTAGTCTCTCAAGTGACTCGGCTTTATTGGTAATCTTCCAATGAAAGTACTACTATGCCCAATGTGGCTGGCTTGTTCAGTTTTTTTCTCAGGGTTGTAATTTTGTTGAGTCACGTGTGTAGTAGGGTTATTCTTTATGCCCTATAGTGGATGCATTTTGCTTATCATCTTCCTCTTCCACTGGTTGAGCCTTTTGTTTAGTTTGGTAATTGAATATTTTTGTTCCATTCCGTGTTTCTCTTACTTGATAGGCAAGATGTTCTAAGAGGAATTTGACCTTCCTTACTGATATCAAGTGAGACTACATTGTTTTTGGATTTAGTTTCTCTGTCTTGTCCAATGAGTTAATGCATGCAAAAGCAAAATGATACAAAGGTTCATGCCGATGCCATTCAGTTATAAGCCGGCGGTAACTGGTATTCAAATTGTTCATGTAATGGCCATTGTATTTTTCCCCATACATAAATTGTGTTTGCAATATTTAGAAGATTTCAGTTTAAGCTTTATTCACAAGTGAGATATTAGATTACTTAAACACGTAATTGTCTCTCTTCCTTATGTGGTGAATAATAAGCCCCTGTTTGATTCATATATTTTTCAAATACATTTTTCTCTTCTTTTTTTTTTCAACCACACATTCTTCAATAAAATAATATTATAGGCAAACCCAAAACTCATCCTTATTGTTTAACCACACATTCTCCATCAATCTACTATTCCAAAATACATTCTTAACCTTTTAATGGGGCTCAAACATACTCTAAATGTTTCTTGTAATACACTGCAGATAATATACTATTTAATCTTTAATTTGCCATTGAAGTATGCCGTGTCTTGCTAATATGATGTTTAGTTTAAAAACTCATGGGTGAACTAAGCGTTTTGGAATCCAAGTAAGCACACTGGATGCAGAAGTCACTTCTCAAGAAATTGCACTATTTACCATTTAACTTACAAAGTGCATAAATTGTGTTCACTTCATTTCAGCGTCCATCTATATATACTAGAAATCTATAATTTCTCTTGAGGATGTAAGGAACTAACCAGGATATGTTAACATGTTCCTATAGCATATCAATCAACCTCTTCCGTTTTTGGTATTCATTCGTTGATTTTGTAACATCCCCTAATATATTACCTATATCTGATGCGTTATGCATGTTAAAGCATGCCTTCATTGATGAGTCACACTTCGATATAATTGTTCGCTGCGAATGCGAGTCTTTCTGATATGTTGGAAACACATCAAGAGTTGATGTTGGTATTATGTGAAAAGGAATATTAGTTGTAGTCTTTGGGGGCATTAGTATCTGGACAAGTTAAGTGGTAAAGTATGAGAAAATCCAATTTATCTTGATGAGGTAAGCATTTAAATGAGGCATTGGAGTCTATTGCATTTATGATGTTAAGCCCCTAATAGATAATAATGTGGATTACAAACATATTTACCCAATCTATTTTGTTGTTTCACTGTGTTCACCGAACTTTTTTGTTCAAATTAGTTACTGAACGTCATATTGTTTTAATTTAAGCACTTTGTATACATCCATGTATCGAAAGTAACAGAACTGGTGACTTGCATGACGGAAACGATTATGTGGCTAAAAGATTTGTTCAAATTTTTTTTTTTCCTTTCTATATTGCTAAAAATGTTAATTAGCTTAAAGTATTTGATTGTAAATTAAGTTTTTTGTAGATGAGTTAACATTTTTGCCAATCTTGATAATAAACGTGCTTTAAGAAAATTTTTATGCCACAACATCATTTCTGTCATGCGAGTCAGCAATTCCAGTACTCTCAGAAGACACGCGTGGATGAAGTGCCAAAAATTGATACAAAAACATAAGTGCAGAAAGTAATGCGGACAAAAAGGAGTTCGGTGACCAAAGAGATGAAAATTTAAGTTTGCCGAGCAACTTTATTTTTACCCTAATAACGATCTCTTTGTCTAAAGGGAGGCATGGAAAATGTACAGAGAGAAATGAAACCAGTTCTATTAGGCCAGTTACATGTTACTAGGAGTAACCATGTATCTACGGTTACTCTATACTGTTGGTCCAGTTATTTTTCTTTTCTTTTAGAGACGTGTATAATGGAATGAAATGAGGAACTCGTACTTTTGTTGTTACTTGAGTGTGAAACGTGTGGACTTCTCCATTTTTGTTCATTTACATATCAAAACGCTTGACGGAATTCAGACGGCAATTTATAAATGGCATCTAGTTGTCAGAATACTCTCTGCTAGCAAAATTGCTAAAATTGCCAATTACAGATGATGTTTTTCTTGGCACTTTCAGTAGATGCACTATACTGATAAGTTGTAAGATCTGTGGTATTTATATTGCCGCTCAGTTTTTTTTTTTTTAGTACCGTCAATACAGAGAGAAGTAAATTCTTTGCCTTTTCCTTTTTTGTAGGACGGTCGAAAAATTAGCATAGGTGATTGTGCTCTTTTTAAGCCACCTCAAGATTCTCCACCTTTCATTGGGATAATTCGCTGGTTGGCAGTGAGTAAAGAGAAAAAGTTACAGTTAGGTGTGAATTGGCTTTATCGACCAGCTGAGCTGAAGCTTGGCAAAGGCATCCAGCTGGACGCCGCGCCAAACGAAATTTTTTATTCTTTTCACAAGGATGAAATTCCTGCTGCATCGCTTCTCCATCCGTGCAAAGTTTCTTTTCTTCCAAAAGGTGTTGAACTTCCTGCAGGGGTATCCTCATTTATTTGCCGGCGAGTGTATGACATTGAGAATAATTGCCTTTGGTGGCTGAATGATCAAGACTACATTAAAGTTAGTTGCTATGTTTTGTCAGTCTATATTCTCTTTCGTTTTCTGCATTCACTGCAGATGCTGTTCTTTGCTCTATTTTTTTCATTGATTCAGGCTTCCTATTCTTGTAGGAGCGACAAGAAGAAGTAGATCAACTTTTACATAAAACTCGAAGGGAAATGCATGTAACTATGCAGTCTAGTGGTCCTTCTCCAAAGCCAGGAAATAGTCCCGCATCAACCTTGCAATCAAAATCTGGTCCTGATAATGGACAGATCGGTGAAACTTCTTTTTCTCCTCAAGTTAAGGGAAAGAAGAGGGACAGAGGAGATCAGGGTGTTGATCCTATCAAAAAAGAACGTTCTTCAAAAACTGATGATGGTGATTCTGGTATTTTGAGAGCTGAAAATAGTTTGAAATCCGAGATAGTGAAAATAGCAGGAAAAGGAGGTCTCATGGATTTGGAGGGGGTTGAGAAGTTTGTCCAGCTTATGCAACCTGAGAGAATGGACAAGAAAGTGGATTTGATCAGCCGCTCTCTGCTTGCAGGTGTGTTGGCTGCCACTGATAAGTTTGATTGCCTTAATCGGTTTGTACAGCTTAGGGGTTTGCCAGTGTTGGATGAATGGCTCCAGGACATCCATAAAGGGAAGATTAATGATGGTTATAGTTCCAAGGATGGTGATAAATCTGTTGAGGAATTTCTTTTGGTTTTACTTCGTGCACTTGACAAGCTCCCAGTGAATCTCCATGCCCTGAAAATGTGCAACATTGGCAAATCTGTGAATAATTTACGTTCGCATAAGAACTTAGAAATTCAGAAGAAGGCAAGGAGTTTAGTTGACACATGGAAGAAACGTGTTGAAGCTGAAATTGATGCGAAGTCAGGTTCAACTCAAGCTGTTTCTCCATGGCCTTCCAAATCTCGCCTTCCTGAGGCTTCTCAGGGTGGGAGCAAAAATTCAAATTGTTCTGATGTGGCCATTAAAAGCTCTATCACGTTGCTTTCTGCTTCTAAAACTTCTTCAGTGAAGTTTTCACATGGTGAGAGTAACATAAAGTCATCATCCTCATCTCCTGGCCCTATAAAATCGTCGTTGTCATCACCTGCAACAGGCAAAGATATCCAGCCCAGAAATTCTGTTGGTAGTGCTACTGATTTGCCTCTATCCAGGGAGGATAAGAGCAGCAGTGCTGTTCAATCTCATAGTTATAGTCCGTCGTCAGTAAAAGATGACTTGAAGGGTTCTGCTTCTGGTTTGGTGAGTGTTAATAAAATCTCTGGCAGTGCTTCTAGGCATCGGAAGTCAAGCAATGGTTCTCCTGGGACACCTGTAAGCGGAGGTCTAAAAGAAACAAGCTCAAGCAGAAGCTCTTCACTGCACAGAAATACTGCATTAGAGAAGTCATCTCAGTCTGCCTTAAATGCTGACAAGGCTCTTGAGGCACCCGTTAGTGAGGGCAGCAGTCCTAAGCTAATCGTTAAGATACCAAACTGCGGACGTGTTCCTGCACAAGGTGCCAACATAGGATCTTCAGAAGATCCTACCGTTATGAGCAGTCGAGTTTCTTCTCCAGTGCATTCAGAGAAGATTGATCAGATTGATCGTAAACCGAAGGAAAGGAGTGATGCGGATTTCACTTCAGATGTGAATATGGAGTCATGGCAAGGCAGAGAGTCCAAGGATGTGATGAATGGTTCTGATGAGGCTGTTGGGTCACCTGCAGCTCTTCCTCATCAAGAGCAAAGTAGAACCACTGAAGCGTCGAGGAGAATTATTGATGCTTCGAAAAGAAACGACTTGAGGTCGTGTGAGGCCTCGTTCAGCCCCATGAATGCTTTTATTGAGAGCTGTGTTAAGTATTCCGAAGCGAATTCATATGTGTCACTTGAGGATGATATTGGAATGAATCTACTTGCTAGTGTGGCTGCTGGAGAAATGTCAAGAACTGATTCTCCAGAAAGAAGCACCCCTGTAGCTGATGAAGTTTGCACACACGAGAATGTTAAATTAAAGTCACTTACTGGTGGGCAAATTTTGGGTTGTGATGATGTTGATAACAAGAAACAGGTTATAGCTGGCACTTCTTTGCCTGAAGATGGATCCCCTGTGTCTAAACATGCACCCCTTGAGCATTCTGGTGAAAGAAGATGCGCTTCATCTCAAGTTAACGAAGATCCGCTGACTGGAGAGTGCAATAAACACGTGAACTTGGCTTGTATAGATTTGAGAAACAGTGCAGATCCTCAGGGAGATATCAATGAGAAGTCTTGTGAAATGAGCAGTTCTGCTTCTTTGATGCCATCAGTCAAAATGGAGAAGATGGAAGATGAACCAAGTAAAAATGCTCTTGAGGAGAAGGTCCCTTCAAGTAATGTAAATTGCGATGCCAATTTAGATAGTAAACCTTGTGGAAATGATAACTTGGCATCCCAGAACACAGTCAGCCATGGTCTTTCTAATGTAGAAGGTGGTAATCGAGCAGCTCAAGTTGTAGGTGACAGCGGAAATGATGTAAAAGAAGAGTTATGTACTGGCTTTCCTGTGGAGCAAGAACTACCTGCAGTTGTTGCGTCATCTGTCTTGACAGTAAGATGTGATAATGAAATGCTGCAAAGAACTGCTTCTGAGAAGAAAGTAATTTCAGAAAATGCTAATGATGTCGATGAAGAAAAAGGCGGTGAAAAGGATTCTGTGAATAATGTTAGCCAGTCTGAAATACAAAACTTTAACAAGGGAGCAGACAGGTCTAATATCAAAGATCAAGGTATGAGTTGTTTAGGTTCTACTATGGATGAAGTAAGCAGTCAAAATATAGAGGTGAATGTAGAGAACATGGAATTCCCAGAGCACCAATCTGGTATATCCTCTCCTCAGAGAGAGTCACCTGCTATTTCTTCCGTAGAACCACAGAAAAAAACTGAGTTGAGAGAATCAAATCTTCCTGGTGTTGAAGCGGATGAAACTGAGGAATGCTCTTCCTCTGTGGCAGAGGCTTCATCATCTTCTGCTGACGCACCTCCAGAACCTGACGCTAAGATTAAATTTGACTTAAATGAAGGTTTTATTGCAGATGATGGAAAATATGGGGAGCCTGTCAACTTCATAGCCCCTGATTTAACCAGTGTTAATGTGATCAACCCATTGCTTTCTGCTGTAAATTCTGTTTCCAATGGCCTCCCTGCATCCATTACAGTGGCAGCAGCAGCAAAAGGGCCTTTTGTTCCTCCAGAGGAACTTTTGAGAAGTAAAAGTGAACTTGGATGGAAGGGAACTGCTGCCACTAGTGCATTTCGACCAGCTGAACCCAGAAAATCCCTTGAATTGCCTTTGGGATCGACAAATGTATCCCGTACTGATGCTTCTAATAGTAGACATGTCCGCCCTTTGTTGGATATCGATCTAAATGTGCCAGATGAAAGAGTGCTTGAGGACATGGCTTCTCGAGATTCTGATTTAGCAGTCCATTCTACTTCTGATTTCACACATAATCGTGGTATGACAATGAATGAGTGCACAGGTGCTGCACGTTCCCGTGGCTCTGTAGCACTTGATCTTGATTTGAACAGAGTTGATGAAGCTGATGAAGTGGGCAATTGCTCTTCAAGCATCAAATTTAAAGTTGAGGGTACGGATTTTCCTGTTGATTCATCAGGCGGTTTATCTACTGGTGATGTTAGAAGGGATTTTGATCTAAATGATGGGCCTTTAGTTGATGATGCTAGTGCTTTACAGTTTTCACGTCAGGGTAAGGGTGGTATGCTGCCTCAGCTGCCTGCTGCTGGCTTGAGAATGAAGAATTTAGAACTTGGCAACTTCCCGTCTTGGTTTCCACCCGGGAATACATATTCAACTGTGACAATTCCGTCAATGTTACCGGACCGAGCGGACCTGCCCTTTCCGGTCGTTCCTCCTGGTGCCCATCAAAGAATGTTTGCTCCTACTGGTGGTACCCCATTTACTCCTGATGTTTATCGGGGACAGGTTTTGTCATCATCTCCTTCGATCCCTTTCCCATCTAGTTCTTTTCAATACGCGTTTCCTTTTGGAACAACTTTTCCTCTACCATCTGCCACTTTCTCTGTTGGAGCAACCTCATACGTAGATTCCTCATCTGGCGGAAGGCTATTTAATACACCTATAAATTCACAGTTTCTGGGCCATGTTGGTGCTGTCTCGTCCCAAATTTCAAGGCCTTTTCTGATTAGCCTTCCTGACAGTAGCTGTAATGGTGGCTTGGATAACAACAGAAAGTGGGGCAGGCCGGGTCTGGATCTCAATGCTGGCCCTGGTGCAGTAGACATTGAAGGTAGAGAAGAGATGTTCCCTCTGGCATCGAGGCAACTTTCTGTTGCCAGTTCACAAGCATTAGCAGAGGAACAAGCAAGGATGCTCCCGGTTCCAGGTGGTATTTTGAAGAGGAAGGAGCCTGAAGGAGGGTGGGAGAATGAGAGTTTCAGATACAAGCAATCTTCATGGCAGTAGGATCAATATACTGGAATCTGGTGCATTTTTCAAGCCTTGTAAGTGTTTTTACTTTACACTGGAATAAATGTTGAAGAAACCGACTTCATTCTGTAGACATCGAAGTTTTAATTCTTGGTAGTAATATCCAATGATTGATATGTTTCAGGGAAATTTATGCTAAATTATCAGAGGTTCCTTCCCCAAGCATGACATTTCTGGAATTTATTTTTACATACTGTTCCATTCCCTTTGCTGTTAAATAATATTGGTAATGAGATTTTTGCCTTTTTAAATTTGATCGTCTGAACATGTACACTTACATTTGGTGTATATATGACGTGTTCATTAATTGAGTTAATCTTTCGCATTACTCTAACTTACCACTTTTCCTCATTTTTTCTCCAGTGGTTGGATGAGCCGAATCATGAATCATTACCAGGATGGATCTCTCTTGGAGAATGGGTGGTAAGTGAGTATATGTTTCCATAGTCTCCGACCCCCATCTCTCAACTGTGTTGGTTGTGACCCAAAAGTTTCATGGGTTTTGCTAGTTTTTTGGTCATTTCTGGGAGGGATGAGAGATAATTTTCCTGTCTGTAGATATTTAACTGTTAGAAAGCATGCATTCTCTAATGCCCAAATATCGAAGATTGATGACCATACTGCTTCGATGCATAATCCCTGGAAATGAGATTGGAACTTAAACTGATTGACGTGGAAGCTCTTTTTATGATTATTTATTTTAATTTTCTCCCATTGCTGCTTGTTCTTTTCAACTCACTTGATCCTCTACTCATATCCAGATTGACTCTGAATTTTGGCATCATCTCTGATGGTTCAGTTGTGTCTTTTGTAGTATTTTAGTTTGGTTTTCTTTTCTAACATTAGTTGTGCTGTCTGCCTATATACGTTATGCGCAAGAATGATAATTTCATCACATAACAGCGAGAGCATGCACATTCCTTGTCTAAGTCCTCTTGTACCATTAGATTTATTCACAAAGGAAATGAGGCAGATGGTGAAGGAATGGTTGTACAGTCTTGATCTCCAGGCTCAACCCCCCGTGGTCAGGATAAAAATTTCTCAATGTTGACGTGACGAGAACTTTAATTATGGTTCTCATCGTTTCAGAGAACCATAACTAAGGATCTCTTACCACGTCAATAGTGGAAAGTAGAGGGCAGGAAATCAATTCCAATGGGTTGTATTACCGTGGCATGAAGAGTACTGTATCCATCATTTTAAGTCAAAAGACTTGATTTTGTATATAATGTACTATAGATGATATGCCTCTGCATCATTGGAACTTATTTCTCTCGTTTTCGGAAATTGAAACAATAAGGTTAAGTGAAGTGTGGTTTTTGGGTAGCATATTCTACATGGCGGGGAGATCGCCATCCCCTATTAGACCGTGCATTACGTTAAGTTGAACCTATCAAATAGAGTAGCATAGAACATACAGGTTGAGGAACGGGTGATGAGGATGACTCCTAGTGAATCATTCTTAATTTATTGAAGGCTTTGACAATGAGATGGGTTTTATTGGTATCTTAGTGAATTTGATCTTAGGGCCCGTTTGACATGGTTTTTGCTTCAGCTTCTGCTTCCGTGTCAGCTTCTTGTATAATAGCTTTTGAGGAAGTTACCTTAATTTTTATTCGAAAAATAATTTTTAAAAGTATTTTCTATTCTAGAAGTGCTTTTAGATTTTAAAATCACTTTAAACTAGAAAAAACACTTTCATAGAATTAGTCAAACATGTTCAAAAATTGTTTTTGGTTCTCAAAAGTTCATTTTTACTTTTCAATAGCTATGCCAAACGGGTCATTAATGCATTTCTCGAAGTTGATATATTTTTGTAGTTATTGCTATGGCTTATGTGGCTATTTGGGTTTTGAGGCTCATTTGACACGGATTCTATTTTTTTAGAAGAGCTTTTCAAAAAAAGTTATTTTAGGTTGTTTTCTTTAAAAAGTTTTTAGAAAATTATTAAAACATGTTTAAAAGAAATTTCTTGGCTCCTTTTAGGCTGTTCAAAAGTTAAGCCCAATGGATCCTCAAATCTTTTGAATCCTTTCACGAGATTTTACAAATAAACATAATGGAGTTGCAAAAATTATCTCAAAAGATTTGAAGGGCCGTAGACAATAGAAAATTGTTAAAATTTATACAAGGGACAACCAAAAAACAAAGGGAAAATTGTAGTGGAGGTCCCAAATCTTTCGTTTTGTTGTAGATTATACTTTAACCTTTTATTTTTGCTACAGCAATCCCAAACCTTTTACTTTAATAGTAGCTGGAGTCCATTGGACGGATTCCATTTAGAATCCCTTTAGTCAACACTAAAATTGGTATTTTGACTCAAATTGACAAATTAAATAAGAGGTAAAATGATTAATTTATATTTCTATAATAAAATAATTAAATCAAAAAATTTATCTTCTCCAAACCTCACCCCTTTATACCTCTACCTAGAAAGCCGATTAAAATGAACCCCATTTGATAACAATGGATTAGCACTATTCGATAGAGCCTGTTTTTGTAGCCATTTAACTACACTAAGTGCATCATCCATAGCTCCCGAATGGAGGTGCTTCAGCTCTAGGTGATAGTCGACTGAGTAACCATCGCGGGTAGTGTTGAAGAGAGCCAGAGGCAGTTGATACGGTTTGGCAACCGATCCAATACCCACTGTCACTTCGCAATCAGTGACTTCGCCACCCAAATGAATAGCACTCGACTCCAATCAAGCTTATTTGCCAACGCCTTATTTTTGAGAACCTTTTGAATACCAAAGCACCCCTCAAGAATCTAGTGAGGAATGTGGGGGCATACAAAGCAGTTTCACCAATTAGTTATGATTTTTCTTTTCAGATTTTCTATTTTTGGCATTGATGCGGGATGAAGAGTAAATAGATCTGCTTCTCCAATTAGATTTGAAGCTTTTGAGATTGCTACTAGACAATGAGTAAGAAAAACAGAATTCTTTGATTGAGGGTTGTGTTGACAGATGGCATTGAGTGTTTTCAACAAGCAAAGTAGAATTATTTGATTGATGGCAGAGGTTGCACCGTGTTGATGTGGCAGCAATGATTGGTGTTGGTTGTAAGAATTCACCGAGTTCTAGTTTTTTTTTTATTATTTTGGAATTGGAAGTGGGGGTGGGGTGATTTGCAGAAGATGAAGTTCATTTTTATTTATTTATTATATGAATATAAATAGACCATTTTACCCTAATTTAATCTTTCAATTTTAGTCAAAATTCTAATTTCAATGTTGACTAACGGGAATCTGGATGGAATTCATCCAATGGACTCCGGTTGCCATTAAAGTAAAAGATTTGGGACTGGAACCACATAAATAAAAGGTTACGGTATCTTCTACAACAAAATAAAAGATTTTGGACTTCCGCTTCAATTTTCCCATAAACAAATAGAAAAAAGAACAAAAAACCAATTTTTTGCCCTCTCGTGGAAATATCACTGCACACTACACATTTATAAATAATTCAATTTTTACATTTTCACTTCATTTTCACCAAATATACCGCAATTTTTGTAGTATATTTGAAACTTGGAATAGTTTCCTTCTCAAGATTTTTAAGCTCTTTAGACCTTTTTCTGCTTCATGGTGTCTTTGTTAGCATTGTAAGCACCAAAATTCATTTCAAAGGAACTGGAATATAATACATTGGTGATACCATCAGTGAAATAGCCTCTGCAATCAAGGTGTGGATGTTAGTTGGAAAATGTGGACCAGTCTTGTACCAGATATGCAGAAGATCAAGAAATCCTTAGTTTTGCATAACATTAAAGTAGGGACTGCATTGGCTATAGATGTATTGGAAATTTGGAATCAATTTTCCCACCTTCAAGAGGGGATTTCCCATTGCCGAAATTAATGGGACGACATCATATTTTTTGGTTGATGTATATCCTTATTTAACATGGTCTGAAATCCAACAAACATGAGCCTCGATCTTAAGGATGCAAGATATGGGAAGTTGATTGGTTTTTCAGAAAGACGATGTAATTAAAAATGACGTTAAATAATAGAATAATATTACTTAACACCGCCGTTGCAAAATGAGGGATCAAGTTCCCTAATTTTGCAGTGTGGGCACAACGAATGTAAATTATTGAAGGGTGCAAGGACGATTTTTCCTCTCTAAAAAGGAGAATTCCTCCTCTTTATAAAAACATCAAAATTGCAGAAATAAATCCACGTTTCAATAAGGGCATGGACTTACTGTTGTGGTTCGCTCAAATTGAATATTAGATTTTTATTTGAAAGTTCTTACATTTTTAAACAACGAAGAAAATCTTTTGAACATTTGTGCCTTGACCATAAATATGTTGTCTACCAAATTTGAAAGCTCTATGAATCCTGCAATGTCTTCCACTTCTTCCCTCCTAAAACTTTTTCTTGAAAAAATGGACTAACCAATGCCAGTATAGGAAATTCATTAAATTAGGCGATTGAATTTAGGTCATCTCTAACCTTGCACCAAAATTTGAGGTGAGTTTTGCACCATTTTACATAAAATCTTGCACCAAACTAAAAATCATCTACAACCATTACACCAAAACTTACATCAAATGAAGTGTGTTTAACCACTTTTTCTCTCTCTTTTATTTTTATTTTTATTTTTAATAATTTTTTTATTTGAAATTTTATTTTTTTATTTATTTTACAAATACACAAATTACTAAATAAATAATTACGTTAAATTAACGAAATTTTAAAATTCATTAATAAATATAAAAATATAGTACAACTTTTTTCCGTGTTACAAATTTAATTAATTAATTAATTATTATTACATTATTAAAATTTATTTTAAATTCAAATAATAATAATAATAATTTATTGTATTAAAAAATATATGATACAAATGACACAATACCCTCCATCAATTAGTTTGACAAATGAAAAAAAAGGGGAAAATTTGACTTTGCATATTTTGGGTAAAATGGTGCAAACTTTGATAAAATATCGGCGAGCTTTTGCACCAAAACTTGGTGTTTTGGTGCTACCTTTGGAGATGCCCCCTTTTATCTCACCGAATCCTAATAGGTGTGATTATTATAAATTCCTGCTGGTCGAGTTGCCTCTCGACACAGAGCACAACATGTCCTTTTTGCATAAAGTTACTTTGCCAGAAGGAATTGAGAGTGAGTTTGACATAATCGCATATAACAATACAGGGC